GAATTTGGAAGTTTGAAATTAAAATACCTTGCGTGATAATCTGTTCGTCAAATGTATCCGTTATTAGAAACCCGAGAGTATACTTTTTTCATACCTTTCCTTCATGCCAAACACACCTGGTGATACAGCCCGAACTGCAATCAACTCGACAGTCAACTCATATACAGTCCTTAAAGTGTTGCCAGGAAACTTCATTTAATACAAAACAAGACGAAACTATCAAAATTATATTTATCTTAACCCTCTGATTAAAACAAAAAATAGTTGAAGGTTGAGGATAGACGAAACAAAAGAGGATAATAACATTTCGAAAGAACGAGATTTTAAGACTACGTGGCAACTCTTTGTGGAAAGTTGCATGCTATGAATAACAAGTGCTTCAGCTGTGAGCAGTCTTTAGATTACACGACTGAAGCAAATAATTCGTCGCAAATATATTGACAAAGTTGTAAAATCCCACCTGGTCGCTGGTTGTCTGATTTACATTTTTAAAATTTGGTTTACGCGAAACTCACTTTTCGATTTGCTTTTGAAAAAAATATAGATTTATGAAATTACTGTGTCTTATATGTGTTGAATGAAAATTGCAAGTGTGTGCTTTTGAGTGCGTATGTGTGAGAGAGGGAGATAGTTATATATACTGTATGTATGTATGTACATATATATATATATATTACATATGTATACATATATGTGTGTGCGCGCGCGCGTGTGTGTGTGCGTGCGTGCGTGCGCGCGCGGACACACACGCAATATATATATATATATATATTTATGTATATACATATTATATATATATATATATATATATATATATATATATATATATGTGTGTGCGTGTATGTATGTGTGTATACAGATAGATAGATATATATATATATATATATATATATATATATATATATCATACACACATATAATACACACACTCATATATAACATACACATACACATATATGTGTTTGTGTGAGCGTGTGCGCATGTGTAATTATTTATCTTTCAGGCGTGCCTTATCTGTGATGAATCTAAGTTGCCTTCGAGAGATAAGAAAGAAAATGTATAGAAAGCAAGCCAGCATATCTGTAGAGAAATTCTTATCAACGATAAGAATTTTATGTATGCCAATCAGAGCACATACACTTTGGTCAGACATACATGTACACATATGAGGATATGAAATAATGAAACTATAGACAGAAGATTACTGGAACAGTAGTTTGCTGATTTAGACTTAGGTATAATAAAGATTTAAAAAGGAATGCAATGGATTTGATTAAGTGTAACGTCAATCACCTTATAAAAATAATATATATATATATATATATATATATATATATATATATATATATTCGCAATCGTTGGTAAAATTTGGGTAAAATGTTTGTTGAAAAAAAAAACAAATCTCATATATATAACCTATGATCATATTTTTTTAAATGTAAAATGTGGCGGTGAAACTACAAATCTCTAAAGTACTTCTCGCTAGCATAAAATTCCCAAGATGACTTTCCTAAAACGGGATAACTGTGATACAAAATCTGAATAAACTCAAGACAGTGTTCTCCAGATCCACTTGCACCTCACATGCCAGTCAGCACAATTACACGCATTGCATTCAGAACCCACGATGAACCTCAGTACTTGAAGACTTTATATCGAAGGATGCGGTAGCTGTGTATTCATCACAGTCATGCCAAAGCCGACGCCAACTTTCAGACAAAGAGGAAATTAACAAACATCACCATAGTAACAGCGCGGCGACATGGCGCAGTCAGACGTGATGTAACTTGGTCAGCTGATATCACAATGGGAAGAACTCGGGAGACGATACAAGCGAGGGTTGTCAGGATTGCAACAGCCTTCTTGAGATTCTGCCTCGTCTCGTTAGGCGTGGAAGGGATCTTTCCACGGTTGTGACGAAAAGTATTTTTTTTTTCATCTGTGTTTTCTTATTTACTTTTTTTTTTCTAACGGCGGGGGATGAG